GATAGATCCATAGATAGATAGATAGATAGATAGATAGATCCATAGATAGATAGATAGATAGATAGATAGATAGATAGATAGATAGATAGATAGATAGGTAGAGTAGCGACGATACGTGGACGCGAGCGAGCGACGAACGAGGCAGCTGAAACGTACGTATAGATCGTAACACGATAGATCCATAGATAGATAGATAGATAGATAGATAGATAGATAGATAGATAGATAGAGTAGCGACGATACGTGGACGCGAGCGAGCGACGAACGAGGCAGCTGAAACGTACGTATAGATCGTAACACGATAGATCCATAGATAGATAGATAGATAGATAGATAGATAGATAGATAGGTAGAGTAGCGACGACACGTGGACGCGAGCGAGCGACGAACGAGGCAGCTGAAACGTACGTATAGATCGTAACACGATAGATCCATAGATAGATAGATAGATAGATAGATAGATAGATCCATAGATAGATAGATAGATAGATAGATAGATAGATAGATAGATAGATAGATAGATAGATAGATAGATAGATAGATAGATAGATAGATAGATAGATAGATAGATAGATAGATAGATAGATAGGTAGAGTAGCGACGACACGTGGACTATATATATATTGTGTTTTTGCAGTGGCGTATGACGAGGTGTCGGCGAACGAGTTGAAGCTGCGGAGAGAGCTGCTCCGGAGGAACGTTCCCACTGCTCAGCTTACCGGCGACGTGAGTGCCATCTGGTGTCGCACAACACAACTATTATGTCGCACAGTGATAAAATCGGTGTTGTGTAAAAAAATTGTGAGAAGAGAATAGTGTTACCCGAATACCTGGATACCCGGGTTGGCTCTGGGCTTCATCTATAGCTTTACCTGTAATCTGGCTTCACCTGTAAGCTGGCTTCGCTTTCTCTCGTTAACAGGTGAGGATTCTGGACGACTTCATCGAGCTGCGGATGAAGATGCGGGCCAACATTGAGAAGAAGCCGATCAGGAAGTGCGGCCTGTCTCCGGCGCCACGCGACGCCGACGTCATCGGCAACGTCTCGCCACGCGACGCCGACGTCATCGGCAAGGTAGGTGGCGCCACCTGCTCTCGCACCTCGTCCGGCATTTTTGAACCCCGACGTCATGCACATCATGACATCGTGCAGACACCTGGGTGGTTGGTGCTGTGTGTGTGGGGGTGTAATTTCGACTGGATTAGATTTCCTGGCATCAGCAAAGACGTTTACTGATTCATTGATGCTGGCTGTGTTAGTAATAACGCGCTGCAGTTGTTGTCGAGACAGCAGAGACGGAAAAAAACTAAAAATCTGACTAAAACAAATTGTCTATCAGGGTTTCCTCTGAGGGGAAATTAGACAACGGAGGTAATGGCCAGTTTGGGGAAAAAATGTGCACGATGGATTTATAGACATGCAGCGCATGTGGAAGCTGTAGGCGGGCGCGGGGGGAGAGAGGGAGAGGTGGAAGTCCTCCTCTCGCTGGGAAGGGGGGTTCTGGGGGGTCTCACCCAGCAAAATTTTAAAAATTTGAATGTTAAAAATTGTTACAGGAGCATTTTCACAATGGCGATGATAAATTTGACAACGGCGGTGCGCCACTGTGCCTCTTATGTATAAGAAACCCTGTCTATGGACAACGCCAAAACACGATCACTCGTCTTTTTTTTCTATTTACGTAACGTCACTTTAATGTAATTTTACTTCTTTTTTTTTGTAAGTAAATTTTGCTCTTCGCGCGCGCACGGCCATTCGGCTATAGAATCTGGTTTCTACTCGCCTCGCGCGGACACACGTTTAATCATGCAAGGCTCAGCTTCACCGCCTCATCCCCCCACCCCACCGCCTCTCCCCATCATTGTTTCTCTCTCATCGCCTAGGTGGCGCATCTTGCCACGGTGGTGGACGACAACGTCACACGCATGTGCACAGGCACTTGGACCGTTTCAATAATAAAATGATGGTTAATAAATACAACTTGTCAGTACTATTACTAGCCCTACCAGTACTAGTACCAGCAATAGTCTTAATGTTTGATATAACTTCACTTCAACACCGTCCAATACACCGCTGCAACACATAGCCCGCACGCCATTGTGCATGCACANGCACCTCTCGCTGGGAGGGGGTTCTGGTAGGTGCTCACCCAGGCGAAAATTTAAAAAATTTTGAATGCTTAAAAATTGTTACAGGAGCATTTTCACAATGGCGATATTAAATTGTGACAACGGCGGTGCTGCCAAGCTGTGCCTCTTTATGGATAAGAAACCTGTCTAGGACATACGCCAAAACACAATCACTCGTCCCCTTTTTTTTACTATTTACGTTAACGTTTCACTTTTAATGTAATTTTACTTTCTTTTTTTTTTGGTAAGTAAATTTTTGCCTCTTTCGCGCCGTCGCGCGCACGGCCATCGGCTATAGAATACTGCGTTTTCTACTCGCCTCGCGCGGACACACGTTTAATCATGCAGAAGCTCAGCTTCACGCCTTAGCCCCCCACGCCTCTCGCGCCATTCATGTGTTCGTCCTCATCGGCGCTGGAATGACTGGGGCGCATCTTGCCACGGTGTTCTAGGACACACGTCACAACGACAGTGCTTCCCTCTCCCCCCACCTCCCGATCGCCTCTCCGCATCATTGTTTTCCTCATCGCCTAGGTGGCGCAAAATCTTGCCCACCGTGCCGTGACGAGAACGTCGCGCGGCGTGCCCTTCCGGCCCCACCCCTCCGCCCCCACGCCCCCACTGCTGCCTACTTCTCCGCATCATTGTTCTCCCATCGCCCGCGCTTGAATTAGGTGGCGTCATCTTGCCACGGAAACTTTTCCGCGACCGACGGAGTCGACCAGGCGCCGCCCGCACACACCGGGGCCGCGCGCGTGCTCTCCTGGCACCTGATCTCCGACATGGAATGCGTCGTCACGGCAACGACGGCGAAGGCGATGGAGCTTTACAAAGACGGATACCCGGGACGGACGGCAGGAGCTGCTGGCGCTAGACTCCATCTACAGGAAGGCACTGCCGAACTGGAAGCAACATGTGAGCGCGGTCTTTGATCAGTGTTCTGTAGCACAGGGCGTACGGTTTCGCCAGTAGCGGCAAGTTGGCAATTTAAGAGAGAGTGAAAGGCAGAGGAGGAGCGCTACGCCAGAGTGACAGGAGGCCTAAAGAGAGGGAGAAGGAACGAGAGGGAGAGAAAGGGTAGAAAGAGGGTGAGAGAGATAGCGCGCGCGAGAGATCGCGAGACCGAGCGTGAGAGCTGAGAGAGAGAGAAAGAGACGGCAGAACGAGAATAAAAAAAAAAATAGAGATATGACAGAGAACGAGAACCAGAGTTGGAGAGAGAGAGAGAGCCTAAAGAGAGAGAGGGGAAAATAAAGATAGAAGATAATGAGAAATTGAGAGAGGGGGAAGCGCCAAGAACAGAGTGCTGGCAAGAGAGAGGAAGAGAGTTCACTCTCATCATATCTTGCAGAGCTCTTCCTCACGTCAAACACAGTGCGAAGTGGAAGCCTCAGGGAAACCCCGTCTAATCGGCTTGCTGTGATCTGCTCGTCATCCCAAACAACGATGGCGACATCAAAACTGGTAAGCTCATCTTGGTTTCCGGGGCAGTAGCAAAAGGAAATTATGTGGGTAAGCCATATATATGTATTATATAGTATATTAGAGTAGGCTAAGGATTGTATATAGTTAAGGAGAGAGGAGCAAGAGCAACGAGAGAGAGAGAAGAGCAAGACAGACAGGAGGGAAGGTGGCTGGAAGAGATGGAGGAAAGAGGGGAGAGAGAGAGAGAATGCAAGCACAGAGCAGGAGAAAGGGGCTGTGAAGAGAGTGAGGAAGAGCGGTAGCAGGAGAGAAGAGACGGATGGAGAGAGAGAGAGAGAGAGAGAGAGGAGAGAAGAGTGAATGGGAGGGGGACAGAGAAAGAAAGATGGAGATTGGGAGGGAGAGAGAGTACGAGCGAGAGTGAGAGAGAAAGAGAGAAAGAAACATGGAGAGAGAAAAAGAGAGGGCATGAGAGAGAGAGCGAGAGAGAGAGAGAGCGCGCACGAGAGAGAACACTTGCAGTTAAACTCGCTCACTCTTCGATATACTTCCCCTGCCTCGACGCTCTCTTGTTTTCCCGCTCCAGTCTTCAGCATGCTGCTCGGCGACACGATCATCGTTGACACGCTGCAGGACGCGACGGCGTACCGCGCAGCGGTCAGCGGCGCCACCTACTGCCCGACGCTACTGACGCGCGACGGCCACCGCATGCGCAGCAACGGCAAGTTTGGCGGTGCGAGTAATCGCGCGTGGTCGCTCGAGCGTCTGCGCGGGGTCGTGTTCGCGGCGCCGCTGCCGCTCGCCCACGCCGCGCTCAGCGAGGACGTAGGTGAGTGTGTGTGCGTGTGCGCGCGGAGGCGTGTGTGGGTGGGTGGGGTGTGTGTGTGTGTGTGTGTGTGTG